TCAAGGTCCCTCTGGATGGCATCCCTTCCATTAGTGGAATCCTTTCTATTAGTGGACAGTTTTGGAAGCTTAAATCTTTCAGTTGGTAAGTAAGCCCAAACATAGACATTCTCCTTCCCAAACGAAAAGTATTTTCACATTTAGTCCACACCTGGTTGCATTCCAAAGGCAGTGGGATTGTGGCATCTTTTTCAATGACATCTCAAATTCTCAGGCTTGTTTTGGAAAATTAAAACCAGGTTAATTTTATAAAAGGAATTTGCGAGTTGTGATATGATCCATATTTTTCCGAGAACAAAGAATGCAGAAGTAAGTTTAAAGGGAAATTTGAGGGGATCTGTCATTAATATTTTGTGAAGCTATTAGGACCAGATTGTGATAATCTCTGCTCAGGTGCAAATAGGACCCAGACTCCATCAACCACAGGAAAACAAATTCCTAGTTTCACTTCAGCTTCAACTCTGCCCCACTAGACTTTGCGGCTAGATAGGCACGTGAAAGCATGCTGTGAATGCTGACATTCAGCAGAAGGAACAAGTTGGTTGGGAGAAGCTCTCTGACTACCCTGAAGCAGCACAGGGCTTCCCAGGACCTTAGAGAAGAGCCCCAGGTCAAGCCAAAAAGTGACAGGACATTCCTATCACATGTGACAGACAAGACCCAGTTCTGCACAACAGGTTCGCCACAAAAACCAGCCCACTTCAGACTCAGCATACCAAAGCCAAGCATCCACTGAGGGACAGAAGCTTCTTGCAACAACAGCATTCAGTAGGAAAATGAACTCAAGCAGAAACAAAACAAATCTCCATGACCACATCTGAAGTTGGCTTCCTCACAAGCTGACATTGTTCTGCTATTCTAACTCACCTTCTTTGGCAGGAAATGGACTCCAACAGAGTATTTGTCACTATTGGTCCACAGCTCGATCTGTGCCAGGACCTGGTTGGTGAAGGAGTTGCTCATAACAAAGCTTGGGTGACCCATGGCACAGCCCAAGTTGACCAGTCGGCCCTCTGCTAGCAGTATTATGTGACGGCCATTCCTCAGTGTATAGCGATCCACCTGGGTGGGAAAAAGCAAGAGGAGTGTGATGTCAGCATTTCAAATCATGCAAAGCGTGGTAGGCTTTCTTCCCACATCAACAATTCATTAGTGTGTTCACAACACAGACTCTGATTACAAATGAGACAGTCCTCCCTCAGTTCCCAGCCAGTGTTTGTGAAGCCTGTAGCTATTCTGGACTTCACACAACATGAATCTCAGCATCTGCTTCATACTTAAACAGTTATCCAGTTCTTCTGGTTTTTCCACATGCATGTTGTCTCAGGTGGCTGTTCTATATGCCCAGTTGTAACAATCAGTGTGGAGAGACAGGAGAGAAGAGGAAACATCTCTGTATGCAACAGTCCAGAGTCTTTGCATCTGACACAGGAGTAAGAGCCAGAGTCCTCAGCCTGATGAAACTGCTCCCCTATAGCTCTTCTCACTTCCATAAGGCCAGTGCTTCACAGGACAAGAAACAGCTGTCCTAGCTTCTGGTGTTCCCTCCTTTGCTCTCACAGGGCCAAAGACATGGTCCCCCACTCAGACTGATTTTCAACCTGTGCTGGGGACAACAGGACACTGCACACAGAACCAAGTCTCAGATGGGCTAAGGAGACAGGGTTTCAGCTGTATGAGAGAGTCCCACACACTTCAGAAGATAATGCCACTTAATATGTGTCTGGGCCAGATTGGGCTCCTGCAGTTAACTCTGCTTCTCCTTTCCACCAGCCACTCGCTCTTCTCTCCCCTGTAGGAGGTTACAATATTAAAGCTCAGCATGAACCACCAATATGGCCTGTAAGTTACAAGAACATTCAGTATTCACTGGTATTTATTGCTCCTGTCATGCCAAGCATATGGGAGTAGAGTAAACCTTTGGAAATAATTAAAAGAGAATCAACGACCAACTCTGACAAAGGTTAATGCTTTAGACAAGTCCATTTATCTTAGGCTGTCATAGCACAGCAACTGTGAAAGACCTAAAAGGGTCCCTCCCCACAGCTGTATTTAGACTTTTCATCTCAAAAGTTATTTAATATGAAGCAAAACATACATCACTTTCAGTTTTATTCTTAAAGCTTTGGCCTGTAACTTAAAAGCCATGTGGGATGAAGCTTTAATTGTAACAATACCATCTTCTGAAAAAAGCATCTCTGTGCAGATCCTTAGCAGAGATGTAATAAGTAAACCAATAGGAGCCATTTTATTAGAAGAGGTATTTTGCATTCAGAGCAGGTCTGTGCCTTCAATCACAGCACTATTTTCTACTTCATAGAATGGTTTGGGTTGGAAGGGACCTTATTCAACCCCCCTGCCATCAGCAGGGACACCTTCCACTAGACCAGGTTGCTCAAAGCCTCATCCAGCCTGGCCTTCAACACTTCCAGGGAGGGGGCATCCACAACTTCCTTGGGCAACCTCAGGGTACTTCTAGGGTTCATATAACAAATTATGTTTTCAGCACAACATATGCAGACAGTAAAAACCTCAAACAGAAGCCCTAAGTAACATTCTTAATTTCTCCTGTCCAAGAGCAGTACAGCAAGGTAGGGTTAGTAAAGATGCTCTCCACTGAGCAGCTGCAGTATTTCTTACTGATGCTGATTCTCCACTGTGGACCTCAAGTGACAGTGCTCAGTCCACCCCAAAAATACCACACGGGCTATCAAAAGATTATGGGAGGAAGTCATGAAATAAAGAAGAAAGCAGTCAGAAAGCAAAACACTAAAATCCCTAAGAACAGCTACAATATTACTTATATTAAATGTTATATTTACACATTAAACTACTACAAGGTAGCAGTTAAGTAGCATTTCAGCTTTGAAGTCTGAATCAGGTGGTTTAGATGTGAAAATATTTTACCCACACAATGTCCACAAAACGTGCACCTGGAGAGCTGCTGGCTTGTGCATGGAATCACAAACCTTCAGCAACCTGCTGGCGTGACTCGTTCAATGCGCAGGGTAACGTAGAAAATGCAAATTAATGTCTTTGCACAGAAATAAATACAAACTAGTAGTGGTACCAGCAGAGGCTGAAGTCAGCACTGTGGAAACACATCTCCTCTATGGGCAGATAAACAGGCTGATTGATAAGTTCGAGAAATTGCTACAGAAGTAGAATTCAACTTATCCAAGGATTAAGTTCATTTCCACACTTCTACAAATGCTGCCTCCGTTTCCACATCAGCATTTAGCTTGCTCTGGATTTGCTCATTGCTTTGCACTTCCCTCCACACCATGATACATAAATAATGTATTTTCAGAGCCAAAGTTCATTGATCCCACCCTGACCATTCCATCCCTTCCAGAGCTGAGCTCGTGCTACTCAGTCTCTACTACCAGAACACAGCTGAGCAGGACTGCAGTGCAAACCCATATTGAAAACAACCTGCCAGCTTTCCAGTAATAAGCCTATTTCCTCCTTAACTGTATTTTGAAAGCAACAGATGAGTCAGAATGGCACAGTGGGATGTTTTCCTTTCCCAAGTATTAAATATTTCTTACAGCAGCTCACCACTTGTAAATGGAGACCATATGGTACTGAGAACTATCCTGCTGGACACTTCCACAATTCTCTGTACCTCTAGCTGAAGTCTAGCAACCCTCAGCCCTGGTATTAATCCACTGATCAAGAGATAGATGTCTTCAGAGGAAGTTAAGAGATTTTTGCTCTTGTACTGCTACAGGACATAGAAAAAAGCTGCCAGGTCTCAGTAAACATTTGAGTATTTAGAGAGTTAGTACATGGTATAAAACAGGATACCTCACTGTCGTGGTTTTGGCTGGGACAGAGCTAGTTTTCTTAGTGGCTAGAATAGCCCTGTGTTTCGGTTTCAGTATGGGATTTAGTATTATAAGAATCTTAATATACTGATGGTTTTAGTTGTTGCTAAATCAAGAACTTTCCAACTTCCCATATCTTACTTATCTGCAGGTGCAGAAGAAACTGGGGGCAGCATAGACGACCTAAACTGACATTTGGATATGGCAATGGGATATTCCATATCATATAACATCATGTTCAGTACATTAATGAGGGTCAGCCAGAAAGCTTGCCTTCTCTTTGTCTTTTCTGGGATTGCAGTTTCAGGATTCTCTCTGCTCTGGGATCACTAGCTGGGGAACAAGCTGGGCATCAGTCAGTGACGAGCAATTGCACTGTGCATCACTCATTTGTAGATTCCATTATTACTATTATCATTGTTACTGTAATTATTATTTTAATTTTATTCCATTTCAATTGTTAAATTGTTTTTATCTCAACTCACAAGTTCTCATTTTTACTCTTCTGCCTCTCTCCCATTTCCCAAGCAGTAGAGGGTGAGCAAGCAGCTGTGTGGTGTCTGGCTGCTGGCTGGGTTAAAAGCACCACATAAGGATAAAGTGCAAGACCTCACACCTTTAACAGAGGACTGACCTCCCCTTGACACCCCCAAAAGACCAGGGACAAGATCAACACAGAAGTGTCCCTTTGATGAATCTGAACAGCAAAACTGAGAAACCAGCAATGGCCTAAGTGCCAAACTGATAACCTCCTTCCCAGATTTCAGTGTAAGAGCAATTCTATCAATTAGTGTAATGACTTATCACTGCTGCCCTGAGAAAGGTCTCAACATAGGCAGACAAACTCCCATGCAGGTGGTGAGGGACAGAAGATGCAGAATACCTCCTGGCAGCTCATTTCTAAACCTAAAGTTAATGCATGTCCTGGAACAGTTAAGCAATTGCAGCAAATACCTACCTCAATGCCTTTTAATTTGTTTCAAGCATGGAATTCAGGGCTCTGAAGTCACATTTTGCCTCTCAGTCCTGCCTTTGCTCCTTTTGAAACAAGTAAGCTTTCAAGATCCATCCCTGTTCAATTGCCCAGCCACCACAGCAATCAGGCACAGAGAATGAAAATGAAGAATGAAGAAGCTCTTACAACAGAACTTCATGTAATACCTGCTCAGCAGGTACCTCCTTACCTTGTCATGGTCTGAAGTCTTTAGGGAGAAGAAATCCAAACAGACACAAAATGAAGCATAAGGGTATTCCACTAGCACAGTGTTGCTACACAGAGCTTTAACTACACCAGTAACTGAGTCCAACTGGAGAGTCAAACTGGTTAACAGTGCTTCAGATCCACTGCAAGGAGTCAGCAAAATCCAAGCACTAACCTGAGTCAGGGACCAGCTTTTATTGGACTTGGCAATGTACACATCTATAGGCCATCCTCACTGCAGTGAAGCTTCAAACATGCAGAATGGCCACATAAGCTCAGATTTACCTCTAGGGACATCAGGTCTCCAGTGGTAACCAGTAGATGGGCAAGGAAAAGTACAAGAACAGACCAAGGGTAAAATGTTACTTCCTCCAGCAAACCCGCTCAGCTTCAGCTATCTGTGCATCAAGCAGAGACAGAGGTCTCCACTCAGGGCAGTCAGAGACACCCTTACAAACTTTAGCTAATGACTTCAAAGCAAACACACTTGTGGCACCCACAGCATGCCAGGCAGCTATTTTCACAGCTTTTGCTCTGTGAGCAGGTAACTCCTTTGCATCACCCTGAATGTCCTGCTTCCAACAGCAGCAGCTTATAAAACAGACAAGAGAGATTCAGAGTAGGATGTAGGTCTTCAGCATCAAACCATACAGATGACCTTGATCCTAATTCCATCCTTTTGAAAAGGTAATATTCTGGTGTTAACCAGAAACTTGTTAACAGTTTTCATACCCTGGACTAGACTGCATGTGATTGCAGCTAATGCATCTGGGACAGACTAGCTCCTTCTATATATATATATTTTGAGTATATAAACAAAAAGGGACCTCTGCCAAAAGTCACTTAATTTTTCATAGGGACTTTAAGAGCCATGTTGAATGGCCATGTGCTGGTAGTTTGTACGTTACCTTTAACAATTTTTACTTTCTGAGCAGTCCCAGTTTTACTTTTACAGCCCAAGCCACCAGAAGGCAAGCAACTAGCTGCAGGCTCCTCTAGGGTAAGAGCTGTTGAACAAACTCAACTCCACACTAAGGTCATGGGCAAGAACAGACTTGAATGGAGTAAGAACTTGAGGATACAACTTCATACCTAGTTGAGGCCATGTAGAGTGTCCCAACAGCAAACAGGATACTGAAAAGACTCTTACAACTGGGTAGGTAAGAGTTTGATGTGAGTGGCCAACAAGCCACAGGGGAATATGAAAATTGGAAGAGCAGACTGAGATCTACTAAGACAAATGCTTGGGTGTGGTGGGTTTTTTTTTTTTAAAAAGTAGAAAACCTGTCCTAGAAAACCTGTCCCAGAATCCTGCTATCAGCAAGCACACTCCCTCTTTAAAAGGTAACTGGAACTCCTGTGCCAAGTCAGACAAAGCCTGGTTTGCTTTATGTGATGTTCTCTCTCAATGCTGGTGTTACAAAACAGTTTTGATTTAGTTTTTTGTTTCTCTGCTTTAGGACACACAGTTGAAAAGCTGAAATTTTTAGATCTCTATTTTCCTGTGTAGCTACAGCTTGAAATAAATACATGGTGGGAATGCAAGCTAAGCAAGTCGCCTTGTCTGCTCACACATAGACTTCTGGTCTACACAGATTTGTAAAATGAAGCCACTAAGTCTAGAAGAGAAGTCTGAGCTTGGCAGAGCTCCAGATAGGCTTTCCTGAGGCTTCAATTTCAGAGTAAAAAAGAAATGCTGTGAAAACAAAGAGAGGTATGAATTTTTTTCAAACCTTGACAGAACCCCAGAAGATATTTCCTTGAGATACACTCTAATCCTGGCACCCTGCATCAGGACCAAGACTGTTCTGCTGTAGAGCAGTTCACAAGCAAGTCACTTCCTTAAAGGAAATTCAGATCAGCCACCAGAAAATATGAGCTCTGTTCTTCAGTTTTATATGGTTTCTAATGGTCTGTTCTGTATTCATCATCTAACTTGCTTCTTGAAATTGAGTTACAGCATTGTTTTCAGCTGGGGACTATGAAAAGAAGCATATTTCCATACCTCCTCACCATACCTCAAACATCAAAGCTAACTTCCTGTATGGAATGAACTTGACTAAATTAACTGTCTACACAACCAACACTAAGGGGTAGGCTCCTGTTTGTCAAGGAAGTAGGAGTACATGGAGAAAGATGCATCCATATCAGGTGCACCTTGCTGGAGACCACGCTGTACACCTGAGCACTGGCTGCAACCAATTACTTTAACATCAACACAAGAATATTGCATGCAGCTTGTTCCAGGTTAAGAAGGGAAGAGCAGAACAGAATCTCCATTCTGATCAGCCCAGAGCAACCCTGCCTTCCGAGAAAGCTGAAAACACAAAGTACATGAAGAGAAATACCCCTCCTTTCTGGAAACAGACAGTGAATCGCTATTGATTCTTTCTAGCAGGAAAGCTTGTGCAAGAGCTGTCTCACCTGAGGTTTAACATTCACCACTTCTACTGCATTTTCATTCAGCCACTTGGCATCAACTTCCACATCAAAATGGCCAATGTTACACACTATGGCATCATCCTTCATTTGCTCAAAGTGCCTGCAAAAAAAAAAAAGTTATATCAAAGTTAATGCACAAAAAAAATTTTTCTTCAGCACCAGAAGATGCTCTGGTCCATAGCTCTGCTCAAAGAGAAATGAAAAGTGCCTGGCTCACTGACTGTATTTGACTCTCGCAAGATATGTGGGTCTGGTAATCTTCCAGGCATGTGAAGTCTACTGGAAAAATCTCTCAAGCATCTAGGGAAGGACACTTCCCAAGGATATAAGAGGTTATCGGAGATAAAATATTTTCCCAGTATGAAAAGTAGCATTATTTCATTTAACTGGTCAAAACTGAAATACCTGTAGTTAGTTTCTTTCCTATACAGGAGAAAATTTTCTTAATGACTTTAAAATTTCCATCAGTTTTACATCCTTAGAGGCCTTATCTCCTCCCACTTCATCTGATCTTCCACTACAACATGCACAATCATAATGGCACAGACAGGAATGAGTTTGTGTAGAGTGGAGGAGCTATAAATTCAGATCTCAGAAGCAATAACAAAAAACCTGCAGGGTGGTTTATTGAGAACAGGCTAGTTTCAAGGCTGCTGTGTGTACTCACAGATGGAATCACTTTCATCCTTTATCTACCTCCTCTTCTGTTCACATTTACCTGGCCTAACACTGAACTTAGCCCTGATGCTCTCAATCTCCAAAAGTCTACCTATTCCTCTACACCTTTTTTCCTCCATCACTACATGTTGTAAGACAGGAACAATTGCAACATGGCAACATTGAACAAAACTCAAAGATCAAAGCCCTGATTTCTCCCTAAATTGATGCTAAATTCTGATGTCCAAAAACAAGACTGTGCTAACCCTCACCACATTACTGACAAGTTTTGATTGTATTTTAAGTATCTAACTGTACAGGTATGCTTCACTAAAGCAAGTAGCTAGATCATACCTGCCCTGAACAATGTCAGTGCAGCCAGTGGTGGTAACAAAGATATTGCCTTCTTTACAGGCCTCTTCCATGGTGGTAACTTCATAACCTGGAAAGAGAAAAAAGTTAATTCTTCTACACAATCACCAACACTTATTAACAAATGGACTTCAATATTACAAGTAGAAATAGAGAAAGAACGAGTAATAGAAGTCTCTGCCAAGTCCTGACCCATGGAGAATGCAAGGTAGTGGGCATACTTGTCTTACTAAATACCAACATAGCACAAAGATATCTAACCCTCACCTGTCTCCAATCTGTAGATCTACAGTCAATGTCTTATGCCCATGGGTGTAGTATATGGCACAGCACTCAGACTAGATTCAGGGAGTCAAGTTTGCAAATGGAAGTGCACCCACAACACCTGCAGGTTCCCATCAGGTATGAATTGAAACGGGATAAACTGGTATTAAGAAGCATAGTCACGTGAGGCAACCACAAAAGAAGAGCACAGCTACCACAGCATACTGTGAGCACAGCTGGAAAAGCAGAGAGCATGGCATTCTGCTCCAGAAACATCTACTGAAGGTAAGGCCTGGTGTTTTACTGTGTAGATACTCTAGGGAAGTCTTAAGCCACACTGGAATTTAGAGTTGCACAACTTGAAGATAATGAACCCATTCAAAACCAGGCTCACAGCATCAGAAAATGAGGGGCTTACTCCACTGTGATCTCTGTCCTTGACTCCAAAGACACAGAATCACAGTGGTTTGGGTTAGAAGTGACCTTAAAGCTCATCCAGTTCCAACCCCCCTGCCATCAGCAGGGACACCTTCCACTAGACCAGGTTGCTCAAAGCCTCATCCAGCCTGGCCTTCAACACTTCCAGGGAGGAGCAGCCACAGCTTCTCTGGCCAACCTGGGACACTGTCTCACCACCCTCACACCAAAGAATTTCTTCCTCACATCTCAGCTCCATCTCCCCTCTGACACTTTCAAGCCATCACCCCTTGTTCTCTCACTCCCTGCCCTTGGACAAAGTCCCTCCCCAGCCTTCCTGGAGCCCCTTCAGGTACTGGGAGGCCGCTAGAAGGTCTCCCTGGAGCCTTCTCTTCTCCAGGCTGAACAGCCCCAACTCTCTCAGCCTGTCCTCACAGCAGAGCTGCTCCAGCCCTCGGATCATCCTCGTGGCCTCCTCTGGACTCGCTCCAGTAGGTTCATGTCCCTCTTGTGTTGGGGGCCCCAGAACCTCTTCAAGGCCTATACTAATCAACTCCTTCATTAACTGTAAGGAAAGAATTCCTACAGTTAAACTGGATTCACCTCTACCTCAACAGGGACAGGGCTGAAACCCACTGAAGCTTTCTTGGCCAACTGTCATTTATTGCTCTACAATGACACACAGAGACTCATCAGATGCACTAATTCCCGCATCTCCTTCAGTTCTCACCTTCCATGGCTGCCTGCAGTGCATTGATGGGATCGATTTCAGTGATGATGACTCTGGCTCCAAAGCTCCGCAAGGCCTGAGCGCAGCCCTTGCCCACATCACCATAACCTGCCACGACTGCTACTTTTCCAGCAATCATGACATCTGTAGCTCGTTTGATGCCGTCAATGAGGGACTCTCTGCAACCATAAAGGTTATCAAACTTGCTCTGCGGAAGAAAAAGGAGCAGTTTCAGAACAGATGAAAGTCACTCAAGTAAAAACTCCTTAGAGAAAAAAATGGACTTAATGCAAGTACTACAAACCAGGAGGCTGACAGTCAGCTAAATACCTTAACCACAGTGAGGGATGGGAAGATGATAACCTGGTTTGATATTTTTATTCATCCAGTTTCAATCTACATAGTTATATACCAGATACAGGCTTCAGCATACCCCTGGTGAGAAGCATTTCATGAATTTGTGTCTACTGACCAAGGCTTGGACATGCTAAAAGCTTGTTAGAGGTAACCTGAATTTATCAAGTAAAAGCACAAACAATTCTTGCATACAGAGGTAGGTCCAAGTTCCTCAACCAGATCTTCACCAGTTCTCTGCTGCTGTTTATCAGACAATCAAACCAAGTGCCACAGGTAGACAAAAAAACACCAGCAGAATATCTGGCAAATTAGTTAGCACAGTTTTATCTTTGCAAGACACACACACCCTGCAGAAGCAGCAAGCTGCCCATATGAACCATAAAAAATTAGTTCCTGCAGCCCAAGACAACCAAAATCACATCTTCCCCCAGGAACAGTTACGCTAACACTGCCAGGCCTCACCACTGGCCAGGTGGTATTTCTATCTTTGCAGCTGCTGCTGGCAGAGGTACCTCATCAGATCAACTGACCTTTACCAGCCACAGGCTCACGTAGGTCACGCTTCTCCAGCTGGTACCCAACACCTACCTGTGGGCTTTAAGCTCCTCAGAGTGAGGACATGTCCCTTGCCACAGGAACTGACTGTACCCCAGGAGCCATGATTTCCAAAGGTGTTTTCACATTATTAAAATGCAGAAGAGTGTGTTCTTAAGTACAAAAGAAGCCTCTGATGTTCTGAAAACAGGGTATTTACAATGGCATGTCCCATTAGAGACATCATGGGCTCACTTCAAGGATACGGTGAAAATCTCTTCAGTACCAGGTCAAGAACATCTCAGCAAGAGCAATACTTGCCTGGGAATGACAACATCCCAACACCGAACTGGTCAGACAGCAGAACACAGCAGAAGGGCTCTAGCTGCATTACCTTGGTGACAGAGTCATTAACATTGATTGCTGGCACTTTCAGGGTGCCACTGGCCTTCATCTTGTACAGGTTGTGAACTCCAGTGGTCGTCTCTTCTGAAATACCTCTGATTCCTGTGGGGAGATTAAAAGGATTCACCTGAGTTGGCATTAACACCACTACAAACCAACACATCCAGGTGCTGGGAGTGTCCTCCAAAGGCCCAACTGAAACAAACCCTTTGCAGGAAGCAGGGAAGAGATGAGAACCCTCATGTGGATACTCAAACAGTAGTTTGAAACTTCAAACCAGTTTCTTCCCCCACAAGGCAATTAAAAGAGCAGGACAAAATATTCTCTGAAAAATGGAAGGGACCAGCTCTAAACCAGGGAATCAGGGAAGACCCCACTCCAACCTATTTTCTCACAAAATGATCAAAAACTCTTCTGCAAAAAGGGCAAGATGTTCACACCTCAGTAACGTTTTCACAGCCTAGTCCATTCTTGCAAGGTGGCTTGAAAGAAGATGATACCTAGATAACCACACTTAAATCTAAAGCACTTGGATCAACTAAAGAAAAGTAAAAATCAAATACACAGTTGACCTTTCCCAATCCTCCTGTTGTATCCAACTTCTCTGATTAAACAGCCAACACCACCCCTACATCTGGACGCTAACTACAGGAAATTGCAGTGTCAAAGGTATTCCTAGCACAATCAAAAAACACTGTTGCAAATATATCCTTGTTTGAAAACAGTCCAGGAGGCAGAGACCAGAGAACGGACCATCTAGAAACATCAACATCATATAGTGGACCAAGATCAGGAACTGTCACAGGGTTACACAGCTCCACATTCCAACAAAAAGCCAACGCTGCAAATGCAACCCCTGCTTTAAGGGTCCTGACTCTTCATGGCCCTTTTGAAAGATGAACTAGACGATCTTTAAGGTCCCTTCCAATCCATATGATTCTATGATTTAAGTAAAGGAGCCAATTGCTCAGAAGTGGCATCACTGAACAAGACCTCTGGATATCTCTCCTCTCTAATGTCTCAATACCTCACTGTATATAAACTGTTTAGTTGCTACACTGGGCAACACCCTGATTACTTAGAAAGCCTATCTGCACAAAGAAGTACACAATTTATGACAATCAGAGTAAACCTGAAACTAAACTATCCACTCTGGCTGAATTTTTACTGTAAAGGATATGGTAATTCCATCTGCTCTTTAAGGACTGGAGGCACGCTGCAGGGTAATTATTTTGTTGAAGTATGAACTATTACACAGAATCACAGTGGTTGGAAAAGACCTTTAAGATCATCGGGTCCAACCATAAACCCAACACTGACAGTTCCACCTCTAACCCATGTCCCTAAGCACCTCATCTACCCATCTTTTAAATATCATCAGAGAAAACAGAGGAATTCTAAATCAGGCTGAAACCATCAACACAAGCAACATCTCTATAAAGAGATCTATGTGGCGCTTGGAGCTAATTCAGATTCACAAGAAAAGACAAAATATTAAAGTGATTAATACCAAGTTCTATGTACACATAGAGAAGATACTACCCCTGCATGCACATGACCTCTTAGAATAAAATTGAAAGCATGCTCATAAGCAAAATAATTTTATAGTCATTTTGAAAGAAAAACTCATAGAAAATAAACAACATTCATAAATTGTTTTGTTCAGGTCAGGCCCTTTTACTGATGAAGCAGGTGACAGCCCAGGTTATCCTACGTGAGTGCACATGAACAGACAGAAATATTGCTCTTTTTCCTGTCATTTTTCTTCATTCCTCTCCCTCACTGTAAAATATATAATCATTCTGAATTCCTACATACATTTTTTTTTTATCCACACTCATCCACAGCCCCTCCTAGTATTTCAAACAGGTAAGCACTAGCCCTCCTATTTCACAAACAGCAAAAGCAGAGGAGCCAAAGGACTAGCCCAAGATCAGCAGCTAGCAGCAACGGCAGAGCTCCTCAACTACAGCCCAAGCACCTCCTCAGTAGCCATTATTACTTTAGGGATGGGCAAATGGGAACCAACAACAACCTCCAGCAAAATCCCAAGAATTATTTATGTAGTCTGTTAATTCTGGGTATTGAAGAGAAGTGTTGTGGTGGCTTAACGTGGTCAGCAGCCAACCACCACCACACAGCCGCTCACTCACTGCCCCAACCAGGGAAAAGGAGAGAGAATTGGAGGATTGAAAGTAAAGAGACTTGTAGGTTGAGAAAATAACAATTTAAAAATTGAAATATAATAAAATTAAAATAATAATTACAATAATAATGGTAATAGTAATAATAATAAAATATACAAATGAGTGATGCCCAGTGCAATTGCTCACCACCCACTGACCAAGCCCAGCCCAGTCCCAGATAACGATCCCAGAAGGAGAAAGAATCCCAAAACTGAAACCACAATCCCAGAAGAGCATGAGCCCGAGTGACCCTCATTAATGTACTGAGCATGGCAGGATATGGAACATCCCACTGGCAGAGCCCAACACCACTCTGGGTTTGCTAATTTAAATATTACCCCCACCTAGTCCTTTGCACCTGCAGACCAGCAAAACACAGGGAACCTGGAAAG